GGTGGGTGGCAGCTGCCGCTCGGAGGGGCCGCCTGCCTGGTACATGCACGGGGAGCGGGCGCACTACTCCCACACCATGCCCATGCGCAGCCCCAGCAAGCTCAGCCATATCTCCCGCCTGGAGCTGGTCGAGTCCCTGGACTCGGACGAGGTGGACCTCAAGTCCGGCTACATGAGCGACAGTGACCTCATGGGCAAGACTATGACAGAGGATGATGACATCACTACAGGGTAAGCCGGGGACCGTGTGGACGGCTGGAACGGGAACCTGGGGAGTCCAGTGGGGAGAACGGGGGATGTGGTGTTTTCAAAATGGTATGGGACTCCAAGACAGGGATTGTGGTTCGCTAGGCTGGAAAAAGGGTCTGTGCAGGACTTCCGGAGACGGGAGGCGGTTGCCTCTGAAACTGGGCGTGGCTTATTCTACACATAGGTGTGGTGGGCAGGACCTACAGCTGAGATGCTGATTGGTCAATGAGTGTGCCTTCCTCTCATTGGCTCCTGTGGTTGTCATTCTAAAATATACCCTCCCCCCTTCTTGCCCCCCCACGCCCACCCCTTCCCGAAATCTGGCCCCAAAAGCGCGAGGAAACCTTTTGGACCCTGCGTTTCTGCTGACTTTGTAGTCCTTGGGTATGTTAATCTGCTTCTGCAAAAAGAGACAATGAGCGCGTGTGGGCAAAAGAACTAGTCAAACAGAAGTGGCAGTCGGAGCTCCACGCTTTTGCCAGGGGTTGACAGCGCCCTGGCCCCTGCCTGACCCTGGGGGCTCCTAGTCTCTGTTCCTCAGGTTGTTCCTCTGCAAACATTAGGGCAATAATTCGGTACCCTAACCCTTCCCCAGTCTATTAAGCCCTCCCTTCCTGCCCTTTCTCTGTACAGAATCTTCCTGTTATTTTTTTCTGCCTTGATGGACAGGATTGGGACCACGGAGACAACTTAGAGGGGACAGTCTAAGAAGTAAGGAGAGGAAGAGAGGATTGAAATGCGGGAGGGCTGGGGGTCCTGGCCAACTGTTCCAAGGCCTAAGACCAGAGAGGTGCAGTGTGGTTCTGGAAGCTTCTCTGGGGCATTTCTCAGCCAACTGTCTTTTCCTTTCTTTCTTGGTTTGCTGAGATACCTCTCTCCCCCCCCAAAAAAAAGGTCCTCACAGGTAGCACAGCACCCTTCCCCTATCTTTCAGGGACTTAATATCTTACTATCAGGAGCTCCTCCCGCTGGTAAAGACCTCTGAGTTAGGGGATGGAAAGCAGCCTCTCCTCGGAAAAGACTGAGGGCCAAGCTCCAGGCTGTCCACTGTTCCCCACCCCTACCCTCACCCCTGGGGATGAACTTGGAGGGATCCAGTCAGAGCCTGTCCAGCAGATGAGGCTGCTCTGGAGCAAAACATCTGATGTATGAATGGGTTGTTTACTGCCGGTTAAATCCCAGGGGCCAGTCCGACCTCACACTCAGATCCGCTGGCCTGGACCTGGGGAGAAAGGTCACTGGGCACACAGGCCCTGGCCTCCTTCTGTGGCCAAAAGCCTGTGTGGGGCAGGAGGGAGAGCCTGGGTGGCTGCTCCCTGCAGCCCCATCCCAGGAAGGTCATCCAAGGACAAGGCAGGTCTCTCTGAGCTCCCAGCTGGATAGGGCAGAGGGGACACAACCGTTCTGGGGCCCACGTGTGGGAAGGACCATGATCTCAGCCCCAGGGAGCTCCCAGACTGTTAGAGGTGACTGGACCCTGTCCTAGAGAACTCCTGGACAAACAGAAAAGAGAAGAGAGCCCTACCCCCCACCACCCACCTGATGATCATGAGTAACGTCCCCAAGTTTTTTCTTTTTCTTTGTATTACCAGAAGGCACATGCACTCACCAGAGAGAACGCCCAGTGGATGTGGTCATGTCACAATGCCTTCTCCTCTATTTCTCCACTCCGTCAGGATTTGAGGCATGTTCTTCAAGCCACTGTGGCTGGACTTGAACCAAAGTTAGCCATGTGGGATCCGACTCCCTATACATTGCGCTTAATCCCTGTGCTACTGAACCAGCTCTCCCCAAGTCATGGAAGGCTCAGGATTCTGCCTTGGAGAGAGGCCTCAGTCTGAAGAACTTCTAGTATTTAGCTAGCTCTATGAGCTTGAGCTATTAGTTAACCTCTCGGGCTTTAATTTATCTAGCTACTAAATACAGATAATATAGTAGAACCTATTTCAGGACTAGTATGAGGATTAAATGGGCATATATATATATTGCATAGAATAATTCTTGGCTCATTATAAATGCTCATTAAATGTTATCTATTATTGCTGTTAGAATCCCAGATGGACGGGGAGATAGACCCTTGCCCTTGGGGTGGTGTAGTATGACTAGCTCCACTCAGAATTAGCAGCAAGGACCCCTCTGGTAGCCATTGGCCAATGAGGAGAACATGGATAATGGGGTGTGGGGGATAGGGACTGCTGAGGGCAGAACAGGAAAGATGTTCCTTACCCACACTCCAGCACCCTTTCTGATCCTCTTTCCTTTGGACAGTGTGTGTGCTCCTGAATCAATGCACAAAGACATCTGAGTTTGCTGAGATGGGCAGGCCTACCACCCATATCCCAGGGAAGCCTGGAGTCTGCATGGGCAGTGCAGAGTAAATTGCTGGCGTGGTGATATCCATAAACTGCCTATAAACTGCAATACTGGTTTACAGGATAATTTCTCATGCATTGTTTTTATGATCAACCTTCAATTAGCAGGAACTTGTAACATTTTAGTTTTGAGGTTTCTCTGTCGTTAACTTTCCTGCCAGGACTGTAAACACATCCGTCCTTAAATATGCTTAGGAAGTCAGAGTTGAAGGGAATCCACTTATAATCCCCAGTCATTTTAATGTAAACGTTTGATCATTCCTCAATTATGTGTTTTCGTGAGTGTTGTGTAGTGTTTTGTTTTATTTTAATCAGAAGCAGAGCATCCTTAATTTCAGCACATCTTGGAGTGAGTATACAAACCTGAGCTGTCCCTGTTCGGCTTTCTCTTGGTCCTCTCATCCCTACTGTGGTTTCTATTCAGATTTTGTAATTCAGAAAATGGCCTGCAGCTTGCAGGTGGTGTGGAGGTTAAGGCACTAGATCCCCATGTGACCAGCTGTGAAGTTCGAATCCCAGATTTGGCAGCTTGAAACTCTCGCCAGGTGCATGTGCATGTGTGCCCCAAATCCAGAGAGAAGAATGGAGAAGGGATTGTGGCATGGCCACCCCCTCTGGGAAGTGATTCCTCACTTTCTCTTTCTCTCTCTGGTGAGTGCACGCACCCTATAGCAAATAGTAAAATCTAAAAAAAGAAAAGAAAGAAAGAAAAAGAAAATGGCTTGTTCCTTTAAAAAAAAATTGTTTTTCCTATTCCTAAAACACGTAGGGCTAGTCCCTGGAGGGCCAAGTTTAGTGCTCCCCCTCTCACCCACATGGCCACCCATGCCCCCAGCCACTCCCATGCCCGTTCACATGTCTACCTCCCAAGAGCTCTCTGGACTGGCAGATAAGACAGACTGATTGCTGGGTTTACACTTTCCCCTTGCAGTGACATGATCGGCCACACATGTCCCAAGAGATGACAGTGATTCTGATGCATTCTCAGAGTTCTCCGTTATCTGTGGGGCTTGTCCACCGGAGTGGACCGGTGCTAGCTCTCTCTCCTCCATCCAAATACCACGCCCCTGCCTGGGTTGACATCAGTGAACTGAAGAAGACAAATTCTGCAAATGGAAGTCAGCAAACTGGAAGGAAGACAGTACTGGAACGCCTGCCTGTTGATTCCAATGTCGTCATCTGGGAAGAAGAGAATAAGTGTCCATGTCTGGCCTAATAGTTCAACATATTCTTAGTGATATGCTCGTCTCCTGAAGAAAAAGAGTCCCAGCTTATTTCAGTGCTTTCTTCAATGACCTGATTTTCCAGAACCCTCTTTGTCCTGGTTCCCCACCTCTGGAAGCTCTCAGGTTGTCAACAGTCCTCTTGAGATTTGGCACCTAGACTGATCACCCGCTTGACACTAGAAGTAGTCAGTCCTGCCAGGGTTACAACCAAATCGTGACACCACAGACCACTTGAACTGGCCTGGTTGACAGCTAGGGACATTTTTACCACTTGAAAAGAGAAAAGGAATTTGGTTTTCTAAAAATAGGAAGGTCTGGAATTTAATCTAAGAAGATAAATTTCAGTTAGTCCTCCCCATCCCTGGTGCTCAGGTTGGAGTGGGAGGGTGTAGGGGATGGGCCCCATCCCTCACAGGGGTAAGCAGGTGCTGGGTATGGGCCAAAGAGGCTGCAGGCCTCTACCCGCTCACTCTCCCCCCGATGGGGCAAAGAGGCTGCAGGCCTCCACCCACTCACTCTCCCTCTGATGTCTCCACTTCCCTCTGAGTGGTCGAGTCTGAGCTCTGGGTCGGTAGTGGGTGGGAACTCCCAGGCCAAGTCAGCAGCGGAACTGCATATCCCACAACTCCAGGGGGCGCCATGCACATCGTATAGAGGCTGTGTGGTCTGCAGCCCTGGCAGGACTGCTATCAGCAACCTCTGCCAAGGCCCACTCAGACAGCAGGCCCCCCTCCTAAGTGGGCTCTGCAAGTATGCGTTGGGGGCAGCAGGGGTTTCTTAGCGACCGTCTACTACCCTCTGGTCACTCAGGTGGTTCCCTGCCGTCTGTGTGTGACTGTCCCAGTCCTTTCCTCCACGCCTCTCTGCCCTCCCCTCTCCAGCCTGTCCTCTTGAACTGTGCTTGGGGGCTCAGAAACAGATGGGATTCGTTTCCTCCTTGGCTCTGAAGTGTCCTGACGTTGAAAAATGTCAAATAAAATAAACCGTTGGCCTCTGCCTTCTCCCAGGCTGGCTTTTTGCTTGATCGAGCTCAAGCCTTAAAGAGACACTTGCAGCCTTGCCGCCTGGGCCTTAGCCTCTGTGGCCACCCTCACTGCGCGCGCCCAGAGCCCAAGGTGCCCAGCCCAACCACCTCCAGCAGCGAGGGGAGAGTGCTTGTGCAGTGGGCTCGGGATCACGTGGTTAGCATGGAGAAGAGAAACCTTCGGACGCAAATGGACAGGAAGGAGAGCTGTCCTGGTCTTATTTCTTCTGTCTTTGCCTTCTCTGCATCCTGCCAGTTCTCTGCCCCATCTAGTGGGCAGCCCGACAGGCCTGGCTCTTGCCCACAGATCAGGGCAGACAGAGATGGGGCAGAGAGTGGTGGAGTTAGCCTGGGAGGAGC